ATTTGCGCCTATTAAAATAAATATTTAGCTTTTAAACAGTCTTACAATTGTAAAGCAATAAACAGTGCCAAGGTGATCCCCATGTGAATAAGCACGTAAACATTATAATCAGTCATTAATGCAAGTACACCTTCAATTATAAGCAGCATCAGAAAAACGAGATCTATGGCCCATACAACATTTCTGTTAAATCCTGGGACAAACATGGATTCGATGACATCGGAAAAGATGGATGATGGTGCACTTGACGTGGGTTGAAGGAGAGTTTGAGCATTTGAAACATTATTATCTGTAAAATATAGTTATTATTAGATAATTGAGATATTTTTTGTGCTAATATCAGACTAATCCGTTAATAATCCGTTGTGGAGTGTTTACCTTGTTCTTTGTTCAAGTTAACTTCAATTTTGATTCGCTTGGATGGTGAACTTTGTATGTCTGATGATATAAAGTTCTCCCCGTATTCTACGTTGTGTTTATCTTCAATAACATCCTTTTTTATATATGTTATTTCATCTTGCAATAATTTATCTGAATCAGGATCCTTGTCCAAGGCATTTTTGACTTTTTTATATGGTGAACTTTGTATATCTGACATAAGGGCCGTTCTCAAGCACCTCTCTCAATGTAATTGGCTAGTGATCGAGATGACGCTCAAGCACTATCAAGTAATACAATGATGATGATCAATGCTTGAGCTACGTATCTCTTTTCATTCTTCTATCGATCAACATTATGCTTTCAAAAAAACCAAAAAAGGCAGCTACTAAATTAGTAACTAAAACTTTAGCACCCAAACCTTTATCATTTGAAACTTTGGTTCCCGAAACTTTTTCACCAGCTATTCGTCCTCTTACAAACGCAACCTTCTCTCCGGCTATTCGGATTTTACAAATAACTTACCACCGCAGCAACAGCCATATTTGGCTACACAATCTTCACAGCAACAACCATATTCGGCTACACAATTTTATGTGAATTCTTATGAAACGGTATCAAGATATAATGAAACAGTAAAATAATAATTATTATAAAAGTATATATATATATATATAAAATAATATTTAAATTTTTTTTAGACTTCATCATTTGTTACTTATTATTTATTAATTATTTATTTATCCTTAGCTAATTACAAATTCTATAGAAAAAAATT